TACCAGTTTTAGTTTAGTTGTGGGAAAAGGCGTACGGATGTGTTTTGTGCGTACACGTCGTTTTATGCATCTGGCCTCTGGAGTCAAACTATGTGGAATACATAACAGTAATATACAGAAATGTGACATATTTCTATCATCAACTTGCACTAAAACAGTTTATGTGTCTGTTGTGTTGCACAACGAGGAAAAGCAAAGCTGGTTTGGGAGTGCAGAGAGCAATTATGTGTGTTTTCAGCTTTTGGTTTAGAAAAGCATGAACGTGACGAATGAATCTCTGCTGCTTTTCTGACGATTTGTCATCTCTCACTATCCGTCAGATCACGCGCTACATGGAATACAGTTTTCATGGTTAATTTTGTCGGATGACAACATGTAACATTTAACAGCCATCTGGCACCGCGAGGAAGCAATAATTCATTCTCCGAGAGTGAAATCTCGCTCAAAGTTCAAGGAACTTTTGTTGAACTGCCAGAACTTCTAGTGAGAGCTGAGGTGAAGCCGCCACCTGTTTCCTTTGAACGAGACAAAACAGAAGGACGCTTTTGATTAACAACCCCGATCAGTCGTTTCTGTTCTCCACATGGTGATCCCCCCCTGATTCTGCAACCGGTAACAATCGACCCATCCACACCCCTCCCCTCTCAGACACATTTCATTTTTTAATTAACTGAGTCAATGATGGTATTCCTCCTGAGGGGGGGTGGTACATTAAGCTGAGGTGAGCCAAAAAAAGGAAGAGGAAAAAAAAATAATGCCCGCACAAAGTAGTTTGGGTGGAGGGGTTGTCAGGTTGTCTTATTCATTGATCCAGAAGAGAACAAAGGGCACTAAAATATTCATTAAAAGCTGCTCTGAGCTTGTCGTGTGAGAGAGGACTAGAAAGGAGGAGAGGAGAGGACGGTGTAAGGAGTAATGAGGAGGTTAGCTTTTAACATCTCATTACTGGAGTCCTCTGGCTCCCACCGAGACAGGAAGACAGAGACCCCGTCACTGAGCTCTGTGAAATGAATCCAGATCAGTGCTCCTGAGATGTCACAGCGATAGGACCTCCTTCCCGGGCCACCGGCGCTCATATCTCGGGTTGCTTCGTAATCAAAATCCCCCTCATGCCCCCCAGGCAGTTTGCTGCCACTGACGATGACACGGATGGATTTTTACTTGGTCGGAAATCAAATGAATAAGCCGTGCCATGAAAAAAACAAATGGCCAAAACAAGTCTGTGTGTGAAGCAGGAGGAGAAGCTTCAAAGAACGAGAGGCATCCAGGGATGCTGAGCTTGAACGATGAACCGTGAGGAAGACGTGCCGGGTGGAGAGATTCAAACCTCCTCTGAGTTTGTGCCACAGGTCTCATGAGCTGTGAGGGTTTGGCTGTCCAGTCAGTACACCGAATGCAGCCATGCGTTTGTTTTAGTGCGTTAGCATCGTAGACTGTAGTCACAGTGACCCATTGGTTTGTGGACTGCTGTTTTCAAAGCCTTGAGTTTGGCTTTTTGGCTGTCGTCATCTTGGTTTTATGATGTCGCCATCTTGTTTTCTTGCAACTAAAAGTGAGTGGGTGGAGCTAGTCAAACGAACGCTGACAAGGACATTTTTTTGGTGACCAAAATGTTACAATTAACTGTCATGATCTGAAAACTCCGAGACCAGACAACGCCATGGTAACAACCTGTCAATCACAGTAAGCCCCGCCCTAAAGCATACTCTATTTAATGGTATCTGACTCTAAATGGACCATAATTTACTAAATGAACATCATGCTGTATTGAAGAAGATTTGAAACTAGAGATTGAGACCATAAACTCATGTTTACAATGTTTACTGAGGTAATAAATCAAGTGAGAAGTAGAGTCATTTTCTCATAGACTTCTATACACCCAGAGGAGTCGCCCCCTGAAGGACATTAGTGAGAATGCAGGTTAAAGGCACTTTGGCATTGGCTTCACGTTTGTGTATGTGTGTGTTTTGCCACTGGGCACCTGCTCACACCGCTTGCTGCTTCCCTTTTATTCTCCATCTTTCTGTTGTTGTTGTTCCAGACAGAACAAATACCAAAACCTAGCAGGGGCCACGGAGAAGACCCATTTAGTTTCCCCCCCCATGCGGGTCTTTTCCCACCCACAACTAAATAAAACATTAGTAGTCAAATCTTTCTCCTGGAGGGATAGTTTCTAGTTATCTGCACAAGGAGGAGGTTTTGAGCGAGGAAGAAAATAAAAATAAGTAAAAGTAAAATATGTTTTAGTAAAGATGACGGTAGGAGTATGGAGGAAGAGGAAAACAACAAACCTCCACTGATGGTGACACAATATTCAAATGTGACTTTTCATCATCACTGAATGACGGAGACAGATGCTTTGCGCCGCTCCAGAGCAGCGGGGGAGGGGCTTTTGTAGAAGTGCCAGTGAACATCACATGAAGGTTTCCTTACTGTCCCTCCCTCCCTCTCGCTTCACTCAAGGGCAAACAGTACATCTAAAGAGGATATGGGAGGACACAGGCCCCAGTGCTGTCTCGCTTGCATAATAGTTAGTGACTAAGTCAATGCCTGTTGAAGGCTGCGCATAGCAACTTTGCACTTTTGCCTCCAGTGGCTGTGAGATAAAACTGAATTTCCTAAAGTTTTCTAAAGCTTGTTTTTCTGTCGAGCGGTCATTTGACAGCTGCAGCGTCAGTTTAACTGCACACCCCTTTGGTCCTCAGCATGGAGTAAAGGGAGTGGGAGTGATTAAGAGATCCAGCCACTGAGTCCAGTGTTTAGGACAGCCTATTCAAAGCCTCAGAGATTTCTCAAAGAAGAATTACATCTGAGCCAATACATCTACTCTGCAGCATTTAAAAACTCTTCCCTCCTGCGTTTTTTTGCTTATATTTGAAGAGTGCTTTAGCAATTTATTTGATGGCTCTTGCAAGAGACAGATTTTTTTATTTTTCAGAAAGGTCAGAGTGGATGTAACAGAAGCCCTGACTTTTAGTCCCAAGTATGGGTGAAGCTACAATAAGGCTAGATCCTACATTTCCCATAATTAGCTGGTTCCATTTTGGACCCAATCACAATTTTGCAAAAATATTCACATATCTACTGTGAGTACCACGTCTCTATTTGTTAGGAAAGAGCAATTCCCAAAATCTAGAAACAAATCCTTGGAATGGAACAGGTGAAGAATTGGCAAAAAACTCATGCACAGAAGTATTTGTCTGTTTTCTCAGATTGAGCAGTACTCCCTCTGACCAGAAAATTGACAGGTACGATTGGTGGTGTGCCCTTTTAACCTTTGACCTACAGCATGCATCCATTGGACACAGGTCCTCGGGTACAGATTTACCACCACCTACAAGCAAAGTACTGCCAGAGGCTGTCTTCCACCGTTTCCATGCTTTCATTTGTGTTTTTCGTTGTGAGATAAATGTCTGGACTGAGTGCTTCACTGACTTTGAACCCCTGACGGATCTCCGGTGTTCATTTGCGATGCTCTCTTCCTTCCGCATCCCATCGTTCATCTGGTCTAATGTGATTCAATTTGAGCACACTGGCTCCTGGTCAGTTTTAATTAATTTGCTCTCATCTCGTAGAATTAGGCCTTGCATTAACCATGCCTCCCAAAAGAGTAGCCCTTCCTCTTCCACCACCTTATCTGCACAGGAAGCATTTAGTGCTCTTCAAAGTCTGCCTCAGACCCCGCTTTTCATTCACAAGCACGTCCAAATGAGATCAGAGCTTTTGAGATTCAGATTCTTGATGATATTAGCTTTCCTGCCTCACCCGTCCCTCCCTCCCTTTCTACAACTCCGGTGGTGGATCCCTACAGTGAGTGGGGGAGTTGCCTGGGGTCGGCGGAATCCACGCTCGGCCAAAATTAAATTCCTGGACTGCAGATGACTTTGCTGACCTTCTGGCTTCCTGCGTTCAGTGGAAGTGATTGCAGCATGCAGACAGCAATAACTAACCACCTTCAAAGTACTCTACCATCCACATCAAACCACGTGCAAATGAAAGGAATACGACATACATTTGGACCCATGCGGCTACTTATTCCATAAGCCTCTCCAAAGAGGTCAGCTTGTAGTTTCTTTCGTATCTGTACTCAGAGTGCCTGAGATGAGGTGAACTGTCTCATGTTTTATGAAGGTTTTATTAATTTTAAATTTAATTTCGTCTGGCTGAGATTAGTAATTGAATGTCTCAAAATGCTTTTCAATTACACCACAGCAAAAGTGAAGTCTGGCTTTTGCCCCTCTGTTTATTGGCCACTGACAAACAATATTTTGCCAAAAACTTAAGTGTCAACTGAAATTTGCTGAACATGTCAAGACAGATATTCAGCCCGGCTACTTTCACCAGATCCTCCTCCTCATCCTGCGGCTGGGAATAGTTTTGCTCAGTGAACTGCTGTTGTTCGGCCCCTCAGGTGCTCTGAACGATGCTAGTTTCACCTCGTTCAAGTCTCCAACGTGGAGTCATGTCAGCAGACTCTCTTGGGTGTTTTAAGTCACAGCTCAATACCCATCTTTTTTCTGAGGGCTTTTGTGCGTCAGTCGTCTACCCTATTTTGAGCTATGATGCTTGTATTGTTTTGTCATAATTGTACTATTCTCTCCTGTGGTGAAGTTCATGTTGTACTCATATTTTGTTGTCCTTTTGAAAGACACTTTGTAACCTAGGATTTGAATGGTGCTTTACAAATAATGTTTTACTTACTTGTGTGATTTAAACCATATGAACCTGAGAGAGTCTGAAAGGTTGGAATGCATAGCGCTTAGAAAACCAATACCACTGTCAACAATAACTGCAGTGTTGCATCAGGGGTTGTGGTATGATGCAATGCACCGTAGCTGTCTGAATAGGAGCAGAATTAAATACGAGGCAGCATGCGTCCCTGTGGAAGACAGGGACGCAGTGAATACCTTTTGCTCGGGTGCTAGCGGTTCCCTTGCTGAGATACAAAAGGCTGAACAATGTCTCTCATGCTCCACTTAACAACCAGCCTGTGTGTTTACCTGAATGTGGCCTTGAGGATCTGTCCGGAGGTGCTCTCTTTGGTGTGGTTGTTGTATCCGTAGAAAAGGTCTCCGAACACAGTCTGGTTGGCGGGGATGTCCGCCGCCTCGGCGCAGTCGATCCCCTCAGTGCAGGCCTCGGACAGCGGCAGGCACGACCTCCCATCTGGACCACGCTTGTAGTCCTCGATGCACCTTAAGGGACACGGGTTCAAGTCATTTATTTGGTTCATGCTCTGCTCTTGCATTTCTTAAATTCCTTATATCATAGTTCTTTGAGGTGAAATAATACCGTTAGTTTTCTGAATCTCAAACTTTGAAGCACATTTGTTATGATGGTTGCTGGCTTGTCAACTTAAAAGTTCTGAATCTAAACCTCTGGAATGCAGGAGTGTGAGGCAGTATGTACAGTCAGTGTGTGACACAGGAGACCCTTTGAAGCGGTCGTCCATCTGGAATGTGTGCGACAGAACAGAAACTCATTCGACTAATTTACAATCGGCCACGTTACGACAGGCATTACAATCAAAACATCCTCAACCTTCATTTAGCAGCAGTTTGGGATTATTATCACAAGAAGAATTATGCAACTGTTAACATATTTGAAAAGCCGATGTAACAGTTTAATATCATGCCACTAATGGATCCTAGGAAAGTTGGGTCAACGTGAAAACTGTTATAGAAAACTAGGCAAGTTTAAGTAGAAGTCAAATGTAAATGAATAAAAGACAATAACTCTAAAGCACATCAACAACAAGCAGCTGCACTGCTCTATTTCATCCTTTCATTGAAAACGGTTGAAATGTATCTTCTTTAACTGCTCTCTTGTAATAAAGAAAATAATCAATTTAGATTACACCTGAAGCCTGAGAGTAAGAAAAACATTCTGCTGATCCATTTTCAAAGTCTTGAAGTGAAGTCTTTTCTCGCCTGTGTTCATGACTGCAGGTGAAAAAAGGTGTTGCCAGAATAATCTTTCTAAATTCTTTTTTTTCCACATGTGAAATTGGTAAATAACTAAAAAAGTTCTGTCAGAATCATTATTTTCCCTTCTGTGAAATAGGCTGAAGAGTACCACCGCCCCATATTCTACATAAAATAAATAAAGCAGTCACATTTTCTATTACAGCAGCTAAGCGCCAATTAAAAAAAAAATAATATATATATATATATATATACACACACACACATATGTTGAGATGCACTTAAGCCTCTTAAGCGCACAACAAAACCTGATCCTGTCATAAAAAATTTAAATAAAAAATACTTTGTCAATATTGATGAGAAAACTGTTTTTCCATAACATTTAGCATTAATTACCAACCCATGTGATGAATATGGATGATGACATACTGAATGCATTCCGGCGGCATTAATGTGCTGCAACCGCTGCCGTATGATGCTAAACTCATTTACTAGCAGACTGCCAGCACTCAGAAATATTGATTTCAACCGTGTGACTGAATGGCTACTCTGAGATATCGTCTACTGCATTTTCAAAATATGCACAACTTAGACCTCACAACTCAACGGTGGAGAACCAGCTAAATCAGTTCTCAACTGGCACAAAATCCTCCATCTAAAAAAAAAAAAAGAAGAGAAACACTGAGTCGTCTCAAGGCTCTTTCATATTGATGATGTTTTGACATCTCGGTGTATAATGTACTCTGTGAAATGAGTCGAAGGCAGACGAAGGAGCGGGAGAAAAATGGGGATTGGGTGTTAAAGAGGGAAAGATCTGTCTGAGAGAATCTCTCTGTCTCCCTCCCTCCCTCCCTCCTGGATGCCAAATGTCTCAAAGCGTATGCCAGTCTCCAGTGGGAGCGCTAGAGGATTTAGCCACATCTGCACAGTGGAGAGTGACAACAACAAAAGGCTGCTGTTGAGAATGAAATGAAACGGCGTGCCTGCATACATACTGGTTAATGTAACGATGAAAGCAACAAACAGCAGCTTGTTGTGTTCGATTAGAAACGGCTGCTTCCAGGATCTCCTGTAGAACTTTAAAGAACAACACTTGCCTTCTCGACCACCTTCAGATTAACATCGTTGTGTTTCAGTCGTGCTGTCTAATAAGAACCTCTGCTTCGATTGAAGTCAGGCGGCAGGAATTTATGCGAGACCACCACAACTCCGATGAAAACAGGTGCAGCATAATGAACGGTGAGGAAGATGTTACTCAGTCCGTACATGTCCACACAGTGCAGGAGAAGAAAGTGTAATCAGTGTAATATATGAGAACACCAGCGGGGCTGGCTTTAGATTACATGAAGCAGGTCTCCACATATCCAATCCAAGCATAATCTAATGGAACCTGTTCACCAGTGGTCCCCAAACTAAGGCCCGCGGGCCGGATACGGCCCGCCTCCACATTTGGCCCGGCCCCCTGAACAATACCAGAGATGCATTATGATTTTTTTTCAGTCTGGCCACGCAAATCCTAGACTAGCACCCTGTCAAATAGAACGGAATAATGGCGAAAAGGTTAGGTAAGAGAAAAATTGATTCAGAATGCAGGGTATTTAACCTGCAGTGGTCAAACGATTATTTTTTTGTTCAATGCAAAGAAAAGGCTGTTTGTCTCATCTGTCAAGAGGCGGTGGCGGTATTCAAAGAATACAATCTGCGCCGACACTATGAATCCCGTCACAAAGACAAGTATGATAACTTGCAAGGCCAAATGCGAGCAGACAAACTCTCAAAGCTAAAAAGTGGACTGTTAGCTCAGCAGAATACATTTGTACGCCAAGCTGACCACGGCCCCCATCAGAGAAGGGAAAAGTTATGTGGCCCTCACAGGAAAAAGTTTGGGGACCCCTGCTGTTCACGGTAATAACGGGCCTTTTCTTTACTGAAGGCAGTTTGAGATGCGGCAGTAGGAAAAGCAAGGTGTAAAAGACACGATTATAATTCTCCAGGTATCTTCAATCTATCTTCAATCCTACCAGCCTGTAATCCACACACTATAATCCACCGAGTATAACCTCCTCAAGCAGCTAAAGAGAGCATATTGGAGCTTAAAATAGTATAAATAAATAGAGCAAATGGACTTTATAGTTATTGGGCTTGTCTCTATAGAGAACCCTTCCATGGTTCCACCCAGAACCTTCTCTTCAGGTGACGTTAAGAACCTTTCCCCCTTCTTGTTCTCTGTAGAAGCCTCCCAGGGCGTTCTGCGGAGGAACCCTTTAAGTAGTCCAAGGGTTTCATCTAGAACCCACCCAGCGTACTGCTGCAAGTCGCATCACTTTGTAGGATGTATTCTAAAAATACAAATCCATAAGTAAAACCTATGAGCTGATCATTATGCCTGATGTTAGGGGTGCTGCAGGCCCCTCATCACCCCTACCTCCTGCTCCCATGCCTGCCAGCTGTAACCAAGAAGACCAGCCACCCTAAGACTCCTCCCTGCACCAACTCTACCAAAGGATGCTCTCCAACTAATGGTCCGTTTGCTTTGTCCCAACCAGTGTAACACTGATGCATTTTTTATTTGGTCTGAGTGGCCAAGTTTCAGCTTTGCTCTGCCCTAACCAAGCAAATACATTCCATTTATCCCTAATAGACCCTCTACCTCACCAGTATATATATATATATATATATATATATGGATCTCTGCATTGAATCCCACTGGTGGACGTGAGCAGGGAGTGAATGGAGCACACACCCAGCACCAGATGCTGGTCTTTAATGGATGATTCTAGCGGGGTCACTCGCCTTTCAAAAGCCTTAGTTATATGCTGCTGAGTGAAGACTCATGAGGCTGTAAAGCATTGATGTTGATCTGTACATCATATAGTATCTATATATGAGAAAAGAAGTGACCTCGAAAGAGGGTTCAAAGGGCACCAGGGCTCACTGAGTGGTGTGATGAGTATGAGGAAGATGTGAATCACGCACAATGGCCTTCACAGCCTCCGGACCTCATACAGCAATGATGCTGTTCACATGATGTTGCTTTTGTAAGGACTACAATTCTTTATGTTTTTTGCAATTTATCATTTTAACTTTGTTGATAAAAGATTTGTTTTTATATTAATTCTTTCAAATTGAGTTGGTGGTGGAGGACAATGACACAAAAAGTGAAGTCAACATGACATGCTAGACAGTCAAACTGTAAGGTTTGCCATCATTCCCGGACTAAGAGGCAATAACCCTGAACAAAGGGAGAGCTAGTGTTCGGACTGCAGTTGGAAAGAAGCTGTTTTTAAACAGAGAGGCGTTCAGGAGGAGAGAAGCAGGACGGGGTGGTGGGCTGGGTGGGAGGGGTCGCTGGTTAGTTTAGCGGCCTGGTTGACGGTGCTCTTCATTGAAGGCGTTGAAGGCACGGTTACATTTTCTCAGTGTTGATTTCAGCGTGATGGGCAAGCCAGCGCTCTCATCATCATATAGGATGAAGGAATACGTTTTAAATGAAAGCTGTCCACCCCTCCAGGAGAGGTTAGCGACCATCCATCCATCCATTTTCCACCGCTTATCCGGGGTCGGGTCGCGGTGGCAGCAGGTCAAGCAGGCTGACCCAGACTTCCCTCTCATCGGCAACATGTTCCAGCTCATTCTGGGGGATCCCGAGGTGTTCCCAGGCCAGCTGGGAGATGTAATCTCTCCAGCGTGTTCTGGGTCTTCCCCGGGGTCTCTTCCCAGTTGGACGTGCCTGGAAAACCTCCAGTGGGAGGCGTCCAGGAGGCATCCTAATTAGATGCCCGAACCACCTCAGCTGACTCCTTTCGACGGGAAGGAGTAGCGGCTCTACTCCAAGCTCCCTCCTGATGACCGAGCTCCTTACCCTACCTCTAAGGCTGAGCCCGGCCACCCTACGGAGGAAACTCATTTCGGCCGCTTGTAGCCGCGACCTTGTCCTTTCAGTCATGACCCAGAGTTCGTGACCATAGGTGAGGGCAGGAACGTAGACCGAGTGGTAAATTGAGAGCTTTGCCTTCCGGCTCAGCTCCCTCTTCACCAAGACGGTCCGGTGCAGCGCCTGCTTTACTGCTGCAGCTGCACCGATCCGTCTGTCGATCTCCCGCTCCATCTTACCCTCACTCGTGAACAAGACTCCGAGATACTTGAACTCCTTCGCTTGAGGTAGGCACTCCGTCCCCACCTGGAGGGAGCAATCCACCGGTTTCCGGCAGAGAACCATGGCCTCAGATTTGGAGGTGCTAACTCTCATCCCCGCCGCTTCACACTCGGCTGCAAACCGCCCCAGTGAATGCTGGAGGTCACGATCCGAGGAGGCTAACAGGACCACATCATCTGCAAATAGCAGAGAAGCGATCCCGAGACCCCCGAGACTGACGTTCTCCACCCCCAGGCTGCGCCTAGATATCCTGTCCATGAAAATCACGAACAGGACCGGTGACAAAGGGCAGCCCTGGCGGAGGCCAACACCCACCGGGAACGTGTCTGACTTATTGCCGAGAATGCGGACACAGCTCCTACTGCAGTCGTACAGAGACCGGATCGCCCGTTGTAGCGGGTCCGGCACCCCATACTCCCGCAGCACCCCCCACAAGACCCCCCGAGGGACCCGGTCGACCAAGGAGCACTGAAGCCGTTCTAGAGCATCATGGTGGCCCAACTCCTTTATAAGAGCCTTTTTTCTGGGGTTTTCTCTCTTTTGCAACAGTTGCAACCCTTTTTCAATAAAAAGTTTGAATAGATTCACACAGGCAGACCAACCAACTACCAGCAGCCTCAGGACACAGAGCAGAGTCTGGCAGTCTGTCTGGTAAATTGCTGTATTTTCGAAGCTACTATAAGATATTTTATTGAGTTTCCTTCAAGCAAAAAACTTAAAGATATGTATTTATCTTTAATAAATAAGAAAGGAGTGAATCTGGTCTGTGCTGAGAAATAAAGTTTGCCGTCTTGGTTCAAACTACAGAGCGTCCGTGTTGTTGTACACTAGGGGACACATTTTGAATATATATAGTGTTTATTATATTAGTTGGTTGATGCCTTTATTTTCAATGTGAAAGCTCTGAAAATTGACATGCAAATAAATCACAAAAACAGACGTGAAGGCCTGAAGTCTGTGTGTGCTTCTATGCCGACAGTCCTGGACATTATTATTATGATTATTGTTATTTAGTCTTTTACATTAAAGACTTTTGAGGAAGAAGTTATGTTGTGAGTTAAAACACCTCAGAAAAAATAATAATGACACATGACAATAACGTTGACAACTCCATTGACGTTTGTTACGTTGTTGGTCTTTATGGTTGCAGTTACAGGGATATTTCACCCGGAAACATAACACTTCAAAGTATCAAAAGTCATGTAGTCAAGATAGTTCATTTGCATAGTTTCCAGTAGTTAATCCAGAAGTATTGATTAGTGATACGAGTGATGTTTGTACTAAACTGTGGTTGGTTTGGTTCTGAAATAAAAGGATAGCAATTTAAAATATGAAGCGGTAAATATGTTCTTTCTTACCCACAGAACATCTGGATGTTGTAGAGTGTCGGGTCATCCTCTAGAGGAGCCAGCTGCTGGAGACACAGCTGCTCACATCCTCCGTTGAAACCGTCGGAGCAGTCGATGCCGATGTGGTGGTCGTAGCACCCAGTCCCATCCTTCATAGGGCTCAACCCTGGGGGGCACTGTGGGGGTAGGGGGGGGAGACAAGTGTTTTTAAATGACTAATGTTAGCAATTACAGGTTTTTACTACACCCTTAGAGCTGCCTAGGCTGTGACAAGCTGCCACATTAACACTAATCCCAGATGGGGCAGGTAAACAGACCCGATAACATCTGTGGCACAGAATGCAAACAGTCAGATTCCTGTTCCCATTAGTGCAGTCTGTGTGAGCACTGAGCTTAGTCTGTAGAGCTGCACACGCCAAGATGTTTCATGTAAAACTCACATTATCAGCCGTAAGTAACAGCAGGAGGCTGCAACAGACGGAGAACTCGAAAACACAAAAGAAAAGTTGGTTATGAGCACTGAGATATTTCTCAATTCATCAAACACAATATTCATAAACTATAAATATGATAATGCATCGACTACTTAAGTCATTTATCAAGTAAGCGAGGCTGATTTCAGATTCCCATAATGTGAGGACTTGCTGCTTCTCTCATCTTATTGAACTTTTTTTTGAGCCAAGATAACTCCTTTGAGATTTCAAATCTCATTTCCAAGGAGGTCCTGGCCAAGATGGCGTCGTAAAACGTTCACACAGCGCCGCATAAAAACACAGATTTAAAAAACAAATACAGCAAAAAGTTAAAAACAACATAAAAACATTCCAATAAATTCACATAAAAGAGATGACAGACTTGAGACAAAAAAGTGAATTGCATCAACCAAAGAGTTGTAAAGAAAGAGCTATGTAAGCTCGGCAAAGTACAGCTGAGCCTGATGGCAAATACATTGATTTGGCAGCCATTTGATCATAAAAAAACAAATGAAATATTTGACTTGATGATAGATTAAAAAGGTTCCAACCAAAGTCAGTATAATTCATGCTGTTGGGAATGTGAATATCTGTACAAAGTTCCATGGCAGTCCACAGATTTGTTGTCACGATATTTCACAAAAACAATGAAAACATCCATGGTGTTCACAAAAGAAAAGTCAAGATTCATGAGCTGGGGACCGTAAATGTCGGTACAAAATCCCATGGTAACCCATCCAATGGCTGTTGAGGTCAATCAGTATAGAACATGTTGGGCGGACCACGGACTCACCGTCCCTGCAGCCATGAAACAAACTCATTTTGCAGCCAAACAATTGCAGATATCCATGAGAAAACTCCATTACTGCTTTTCCATGTGTTGTATTGTTGAGTGTTAATGCAACAATAGCGCTCTGCTACAGCCCCAGCCTCATTAAACATTCAGTCACGGTTAGTAAATTCTTGACTGCATCATCAATACTCAGTTCTCACAAAGGGAGTTTTTAACGTTTTCCCTTGTATATGTTGGAAAAGAAAATAGCCTTTGCTTAGCACTTGCCTGTTTACTGTGGCGCAGGGAATGAAAAGAGCAGTGATGAAATGGCAGACAATCTGGTGTCATCTATAGTGAAACCCTTTTAAAACAAGGATCCTTGTTCTGGAGAGGGAGACGAGGCAAGAATGCGGGTTTAAATTTCAACTTCCACACAATCCAGAGAGGATTGTCTTCTGGTTTGATGTGTGAAATGGCATTATTTAGTTTGGAGATGTGTGAAACAGCAAAGTGTTATAGACTAACTTCAAGAAATTATTTTTTCTTTTTAAAAAGACGACATTCTGACGTTTCTAGGGAGCCATGGAGGACTTCTCAATTGAAACGTGCTTGGTGCTGGGCTGACTTTAGACAAGAGCTGTGAGACCTGACTTCACCCCGGTTCTCTCCTTCCACAGTCTCTTTATTTTTTTCCCCTTTCTCTCAGAGATCTGTCAGGTCAAATTCACATTATGTTCTCTGTCAGCTATTACTTCCAAGGAAACTTTGATGGAGTGCATTTTAACAAGGCGCTGCACCCTCAGAACAGTGACTCTGCAGCTGGTTTCCGAGAAGCTCTGAGAGACCTGCGACTGCTTATTTCATTATTCAGCCCCACTGTAGTCTTCACAGGGCCCAGGTGGCTCATTTGGAGGATAAAGCCGACATGCTTGTTGTCGATTGCAGTTTCATTTTGCGGCGGTACGGTTTAGTTAGTCTTGTGACTGCTTTTCAAAAAACATCTTTTAAAGTTTTCAGTGACTTTGCATCACTGCATTTCAGAATTTAACTTCTTGGGATCTCAACAGGAACCTGTATAAAATACGTATACCTGTACATTTGAGCTTATTGAAGCCCAGTATTTATCCTGGATCGCTTCTACATATGATGTGCTTCGCATTAGTTCAGGCACAGCACGGAAGTAGCACTTGCTTTACTCGATTTGTATCAGCGTCTTCATTCATGCTTTAAAATCACTGGTTTATTCACCAGCTGTTTGGCCGACACATCGTCAATCCCAACTGGCCAAATACTGTCGCCCGATCAGTGGCCCTACATTTTAAACTATGACGCTCTAGGTAGGCCCCTCGCGTCAGTGGTGGTCGTTTCAGGGGCTCCGTGTAATTACATGCACAGTGTCTTTTCAAAATAAACTTCCAATGTAGGTTTACTTAGTTTTTAGGTTTACTTATGCAACAAACTACTTGGTTAGATTTATGAAAAGCGCGTTTCTTCCATAAAAGGTAAATGAGTACTGAGCACATTAGTTAAAATAAGTGAGTTGACACTGGACACAAACAGCGGTCTCCCTGGTGAAAGTTCTGTGTTTGTTTGTGGTTTTGTACAACAGAAATGCACCGTGACCGTACCTATACCCTGCTGACACAGTCATGCTGCAGCTATGAAAGCTTACATTAAAAGCTTATTTCCTTTACACACATATCAGATCAAACCACTTGAATTAGATGCCATGGTCTCCATTTGTTTGACTGCATCAAGATTAGCCCGACACTTCTCTTTAAGAGCTAGTACAATCAGAAGTTTGCCAAACTAGGACTGATCGAGGGGGAAAATGGCAATAGTAGAGTTGACAAAGACAAGGGTGAAGTATGGAATGCTTGCCACTGATGCTACGATACCTCCTGAACAAGATCAGCCATCGCAGTGTGCATTGGTTTGCTCATTTCAGGGAAAGGCAGGGAAGAGGCAGAGCCACCCGAACTAAGTAGATCTTACCATCTTACTGTAGTCAACAGGCTTACATTTGGCAACCAGAAAGTGATCGTACCATGCAAGCAAATCCAAATGGCAAGAGTGGAAGACCGGTCAAAGGCCGGTAGTAGGTTAGGCAGGGTGACTGTGGCCTTCAGATCAAGGCAGGGAAGTCTGGAAAGCTGTTGCAGGGAAGCAACACGGATGATCTGGCAAGACATTGGGGCTGGAGAGCAATACAGTAGGAGAGTAATTAAGGAAATAAAGAGCAGGTGTGTAGGTGGGTGTGGCGATCAGGTGACTGGGGAGCAGTGGTGTATAGTAACGAAGTAGAAATACTTCGTTACTGTACTCAAGTCGTTTTTTTGGATATCAGTACTTTACTTTACTACTCATATTTCTGTTGACTTTTACTTTTACTTCACTACATTTTGCAAAGAAAACTGATACTTTTACTCCGATACATTTCCCTGCAAGCAAGCAGGTTTGGTGAATCAGTGGTCCTAGCTTGCAAGTTAAATCATTGGTTAATCACGTTAATGCGCAATTGCAAACAAGTGCTCTCAAAGCCGCGGTGTTTAGATTCCCAGTGATACCCAGGATGCTATATGCTATAGCTAGCGGGCGAGTACACGATGACTGATTTCATGATGGAAGCAGAAATGGAAGCACCTGCTACTCCCGCAACAAACTACTGTGGTGACGAAGACCAACACCCGTGGTCATATTTGCGAGAAATGTTTTCTTATATTGGAGTGAAAGATTCTTCATACCTGATGAAGTGCCTCTTATGCTTACCAAAAGCTACTGAAATATTGGCATTCAAAACCTCCCCATCCAACCTCAAGAAACACATTGAGGTAAATTAAGATTAATCCCCACAGGATTGGAGTATATCTATGGCGGGGGAGGGGGGGAGACAGGTGTCTGATCTTCCTATACATGGTGTATGTTAGGCTAACGTTCGCTAGCTATCGTAAATCAAATGAGACAATTGGTGTAGTAGACAGATTGCTAGCTGAGCTGAGGAAGTGTTGACAGTTGTGAGATCTTAGGGTGTGCGCATGCTGTGTGTGAAGCTGAACACACCTCTACCTGCCTCAGCGGCCTGTGAAAGGCTGTTTAGCATCGCAGGACTAGTCTTCAGCCCAAGAAGAGCGAGACTGAATTCTCGCAATTTTGAAAACCAACTTCTTTTGAAGATGAACAAGACATTTTTCAGTTTCAAGTAATGACTGTGTTGTTACTTTCGGTGCTGCTTTAGTATTGATCATGTTTTGATATTTGAGTCATTTTGTGGATGATCAGATGGAGTTATGATGGTAGCAGTCGCCCAATTGCAGATTCAGCTTGAGCAAAACCTTTGCCTATTGTGTTCAAATCAGGCCCATAGGAGTTTACAAGGCAGGTGTCCTTTCTCACAACACTGACCTGATGCATCAAGTTGATATATTTTGCTGAACACAATATTATGCATTTGCCCTCTACATCCTCTAGTCGGAATGAGCATACTTATAAACGCACTGTTACAACTCCTTCATAGTGTCATATTGCTTTATGGAGAATTATGATGATATGTTCATAGTAGATGCAAAAGTATACTTATGTACAATATATTATGTTGAACATTGTTGCTCCTGGATGGATCACAGCCAACCCAATTATTTTTCAACACAGCTCCATGTCCTTGGTGATGGTGCCACAGCACTTAAAAGAATAACTTCATAATTCTCAAAATGCTGACCCTTTGCTTTTTTATTAACAGCATTTACTTGTACTTTTACTTTTCAATACTACAAGTACATTTAATATTTAGAAAATTACTTTTGATACTTAAGTTCAGTAAATATCAGATACTTTAAGACTTTTACTTAAGTAGTGTTCTAGTTGGTGACTTTCACTTTTACTGGAGTCATTTTCCAGTAAGGTATCTTTACTTTTACTCAAGTATGTCTTT